TCCACGAAATGCTGCAAAGTATAAAGTTTATAAACCGCATTGGGAATTCCCCCAGTGGAATATATTTTCAGTGAACGTCACGAATTCTGAAAAAGACCTTGAACCCTTCCTGGCTTGTTATGTGTGTTTATTTACAAAGAGAATTCTAAAGTGAGAGTGAGGCACATCTAAATGAGAAAAAGAAACAAACAAAAAGTATTGGAAGCAACTAAATCAAGAGACTTAAAATGAAGATTCGTTTCTAACATGCTTAACAATCAGATTAGCGGAAATAAAGATTCACGTTACACTAAAAATTATAATGAAAATTGTAAATTTTATGCAAATAATTAAGTATCTTCCGTTGCCACTTAAACAAAAAAAACGTGGTAAAACCATTCTGGGTTCAGTTTTTCTGCATTTATCCACAAGCTTTTCACCAAATTCGACTGATTCAATTATTGTGATAGTAGATTTTAACAGACGTCGATTTTTATCGCATCATTAAAGGATTTGTTACTGAACGTAATTCAAAGAATATTACTCCTAAAAAAAAAGATATTTACGCACCTAATGTTAAAAATAGAGTAGGTATTTCGAATGTTTCGGACCCAGCAGCCTAATCAATTTTTTGCTCAATGAAATTTTTTAAAGAAATCTTAAAGCTAGACAAAGTTTTATAAAATTCAGAGTGGCTGTAAGAAGTAAATGGTTGAAACAAATTCATCATTAATTCAAATTTAAGATTCACTTTCGATGACGCTCTCTTCTTTCCTGGACTTCTTGTTCATCGTTTCCTCAAGTACGAAAGTAGGCAAAACCTCAAAACCTTTTTCAAATTTGTTTGGTCCAAACCCGGAAAACGTTTTACCGTGTTTAAAAATATAATTATATTTGGTTCACACCATAGGCGGCGCGTTTTCAGATTTTGGTCGGGTTCATCTAGTAGCATGTCCTGACCAAACTTAATAACGTCTTGCCAAGGAATATTAAAACCTTCGTTCTTTTTGTTTTTTAAGCTATCAGTAACACTCTGTATAAGTCTCATCGCTTCATTAAAATGCTGTGATATCTTCTGTAAAGATGAATTCAAGAATTCAACTTTTTCGAATGTAAAAATGAAGGTTCTAATGAGAAACAATGTTTCAAAACACTGACGATTTTTAAATGAGCATTGACTTTGGTTTCAATTTCACTTGTAGATTCTTCGTTAATTTCCTCTAAAAATTTTAATAAACTCTAACACTACTGATTCTAGAGAAATTATTCGTAGGCACCATCGTGTGGGGCAAAACAGTTTCAAAGTTTCGATGTAGCTATGTTCCTCTACGTCGTCCTTTTGGAACGTTTGGAAGACTTTCTTATTAGATTTATTAAGTCCTTAGTGTTACTTAAAAAGCTTGAGCTTTATTATTATTTAATCGCATAGCTTGAATTCGAGTTTGCAAATCACTGAGATGACTACTACATTGCTTGCACCATGATAACATTCTCTGCAGTCTTTTAAAGATCATTCCGCTCTAATCAGAACATCTTTGTCAATTTTTGGGGTATTCGGCTGTAGTAGAAGAAGTCTCGTAAAATCCTATGAAATGTTCATAAACAGGCTCATGGGCAAAGCGCAAACAGAAGGAAACCTGCTCGTGCAATATCGATTGTCTTTTGGTAACCACTCGTATTTCGAGTTCTTATTTAACCACGATTTTCAAGCTGATACGTCTTCAGATCTTGTTTGCAAAAGTCTGTAAAAATTTGAATATTTTTCTGTGTGACCCCTAATTGCCAAACCTTGAACTCTCAAATCTTGGAGAGAAGAAATAAACTTAATCAATGCAACCGGCGCTTCTTTCATTTAATTAAGTTTTTCTTTGTTAATGATAGAAACAACATTAACTCCTTTCTTATGTGATGCCAAACACAGATCTCATAGGAAATTTATATCGTTCGTGATATCTGAATATCGATATAGTTTTTTTCAAGAAGAAAATCCTTCTACACAGAAACACTTATAAGACTGTATATTTACTGGTGTTAAGGAATCCAAAGTTATATTTTTAATGTTGTCCACGCATACTTTACAAACTACTTTATCTTTCTCCAAGTTGTAATAAACCCAGGAAAAACATTGGACGATTTAGGTAAAAATTTTCGAGATTTTAAACGAAACGATGGACTATTATTTACTGACGATTTAGGTAGATCAATTTCTAGACTTTCTGGTAGAGATTCTTTGGTGGATTCTGATTCTGATTCTGTGTCTGTCCCCTTAATTCCATTGCCTACGATATGGCGAAGTAAGTGGGTATTATTATTCTGATCAAATTATAAGAAAATTGCAACTGTTTTTACATGTAAGTATACGGTGGCATGCATACGTATGTACTTATGTGCATATATAATCCCGTAGGTACATATACGCTTAGAATTCAATTGTGTATTAAATGTTGTACTTACGATTTGTCGTGGTAACTGGCTTGTTTTTGTTTGTTCTTATTACAAAGCCATTTTAGTAGATGCGGAGTAGGAGTGGCAACATACACCGTGTACCATAAAATTAATAAATATGATCAAGGTTACTTCAATCTCCAGTTGTTGTTAATAGAATAAGTATTTATGTTCCACACAAAAGCATCTTCTTGAGAGAATTAAGCTAGACTAACAAAAAATTGCATTTGATGTAAACAGGTTCAAAGGCGGTTAATGGATTCGTCCAAATTCCAAAAATTGATAAATAAAATAATGCTTTCTTAACAATAACTGTTGCTTACAAGATAAAAAATTAAATAATATAAAACCTGAAAAAAAAGTTCGATATTTTCGTCAGGTGCACTCCTTCGGATGCACCCACGTACCTACTCACCGCCAATGATTCACACCATGTCCACAAAGGCAACAAATGTTTATGTCTATAGTGTTTTTTTTTTTTTAGTTACACAGAATCAGTTTATATTAAAAATAAGGACCCACAAAAAAAAGTTCAATTTACCTGTTGATCGTCTTTTACGAAAAAAAGGGAGGCTATAACGAAGTGACATGATGCAAACTTGAACACAAACAACTGAATCAAACACGAAAATTCAAACGACACATATGACATATGACAATGAATCTGTGCACATTTGGTGGTTTTCTTTTTTCTACGACCTACGTCTCCGAAAAAAAGAAAATCAGTTACTAACTAGAGGATTTTCTTTGTCGCTCGTTATAACAATTATGGTTTCAGATGCTTAGCAGATTGCAGGATTAAAAACTGCGCTAAATCAGTTGTGCCTGAATGATTTAAAAAAAGATTACAGAATATTATTCATCGTTCACTCTACCGATGTCCCAGATAAAACTCCGCGGTCTTATGTCTTCAAAACGGGTAAATATACTGGAATTCTGTAAACGCCATTGTTTTTATCTTGAAACTGCAAAGATGATACATTATGCCGTCGGCGTCGCGATGCAAATTCATATTTTTTCATTTACGACGTATATTTTTTGAATGGATTTTCAAAGATCATTAAATTATGTTTTTGTTCTGAATAGTGTTTATAATACACTTATAAACACTATTCAGAACAAAAACAATATAATAATCAATAACATACAATTATACTGACAAGTCAAATTCAACAATATATATCTATATATTTCAGATGTCCTTTATATTCTTGGGACGTGTGCTGGATGCTTTTGAAACTCTATATTTCGTACCTTTTTCATAATAAGAGGCCATTCTTAGTTATATGCATTGCAATTGCAATTTAAAAAAATGTAGGTGCTTACGCCATAATAATACATATCATGCAATGCACCAAATTAACCTTCCCCCTGGACGCTAAAAACAATGGGGTTTGCAGAATTTCAATATCTTCATCCGTTTTCTAGATATGATTCCGGAAGTTTTATCTGGGACAGCCTGTACATAAATAGTTACTGAACACATCTAGTAAGTTTTTATACAACTAAGACTCAAGGTAGTGTTAATACAAGTAACAGCGACAACCAAACAATAAAAAACAATAGCTATGTATAAACAATAAACTAATCAACGCAGTTGGCTGCTACTTAAAAGGTATTGTCCTTGACTTCTTTAGGGCAACCCGAGTTTAAAAAGCATCTTAAGTGGAAGAAAATGAAATGAAACAAGTTTCTTTGAAATGAATTTATTCCGTTACAGTGAGATGAAATCGACTAAGAAACGTTTCTGACCTATATATATTTAAAATATCATTTTTCCTCTTACTCGTAAATTAAAAAGTCGTGTATTGGCAAAATAAAAAAGTTGAAATATCCTTAAAATTTTTGAATACATTACAAGTATTACCTTTTTAAATTCGTAACTGATTCTACCAAAAACTGTACAAAAATAATTTAGGTGTATGTTCTGCTCTAACAAAACAGGATACTGAGGAGTTGATTATAATCAATTATAATTATGCAAGTTAGATACCAGCCTATTGTTTACGATCGAATCGAGCCGTCATTACAGACGCATTTATTTCATATTTAAGTCATTCTTAAATATTTTTAGTGATTTGACCCTATCAGTCATTTGGCTATTTGCTTTTAATGAGCTACCTATTTATTTAACACAACACTTTTTAAAAATAATTTTAATCAGTAGGTAAATATGATTACATAAAACACAGAACTTACAAACGTTACTCAATCTAATCGGGTACATACATACACATTGCATACCTATTCCGTCGATTCCTTCAGCAAATTTTTGCAATCGGCTTAGAAAGTGGAGATACGAAGTTTTATAATTTACGTTACCTACTTACGGCGGTTAGAAAGCAAGACTTTATTATAAGATTTACAAACTCATCTAAATTATGATTTTCCGTTTCGATGGAACTCCACATTCGCAGTAATTAAAAATAAAGGATTAGAAATCTTCTAAATATTGTATTTAACACTCACAAGATTAAAATTATTATTGTTGGTTCAACTCGAACACTTATTTTAAATGGTAATAACCAGGTGAATTAAAAGCAAGGGGGGTATCAAAGTGAAAAGGTTCACTGTCAGTGTCCATTCAAAGTCCTGTCGCAAAGAAAAGCAGACGCTGTGTGCATAGTGCTCGAACAACGGTTAATTATTCGTGAAAGTTTAACGTTTTAGTGTTAACAATAGTACATACAATTATGTTTAATAGTTGTAAGTACTGAGTTTTTCTTAGTGTGCGTATTTGCATTTTTCCGATGGATAAAAAAAGTAATGGAAAGGTATGGAGGATATTATATTTATTCACTCTTCATCTAGTTTTGACACTATCATTCTAATTATGTATATTTTTTTAACTTTCATTGAACTTCGTTTTAGAAAATGTTTTTATTGAGACTGCTAAGCAAAATCAAAGGCCCCAATGGTCATTTTATAAAATTGTTATGTTTATTGACTTTGTAATGGGATTACACTTTAAAATATTTAATTTTAAGTTCGTGTCCATGTCAAATTTCAAACATTAACATATTTATATTTAAACAATTTTATGCGCAGAGTGCATCTTGATTTTTCAGAGCAATATTTCTCTGTTAAGATTAAATACACAACAAATTAATGGCATTCTACAGAACATGCTATTTTAGGTTGATACATTTGAACTACATTCTCTGTTAAAAGGTGAGACATATAATAAATGGCAATTATCGATGTAAGAATTTGTTACAAAACTGTTTGCAAAATGTAAATCCTTGGAAACCCCGATTCCATTATATTTTTCCATATATATGTTAGTAGTTGATGGTAATAAGAATAAGTAATAACATAATGTTAAATTTAACCTTCGATGTACTATTTTTTTTACGTCGATTGCAAAATGAGTTGAAAGGGGGATACGGTTCATACGAGTACTGCATTTCTCTTTTCAGTAAATGTAATATATAATAATAAATAGGTACAGTTTTATCTTAGAATTTAATATGGGGATGTGAATAAGTTAACAAATACATAATATTACATAACTGATGATCAGTAATTTAACTTTTACCTACAAATACCATTTTATTAGTTTATTTTTATCAACCTAGATTTTTAGCAAGCTTCGGTTTTTGAAATAAACTACAACATATACGACTGCATTTATTTCGAGACGTGCATATTCCTTTCTCCTAACCTTGAAAACTATAGCCACTGAAAAGCATAAGATTCGATTTACAGGTTGTGTATTAAATTAAAAAATCGTAAACATTACTTATATTGTATTTTATGTCACTGAAATACATCTATATTTTATTTTAGACGACAATTAAATGTAAAAAATCAGAGTTTACTTAAGACGAGTCGCTATGTTTGACCCTTATGGTGTTGTCAATATATTTTCAGAACGTAATATCTTCATTATTAACACACTTACTGTTATGAAGTTTTAAATGTAATCTGTCGACAACTTTCATATATTTTTTAAATTTTGTTGAAATTGCTGCATCACGTTTTTTAAAAAATCAATATTTCAATAACTTATCGAAGTTTTGGAACGCGGTTTTCACCACTATTTTCACCTTAGAAAATTTTACAAATTGTATCAGATATATTTTCCCCTTTATTTGTTGGAACTGAGATATAATAAATAGCAGCTTCTGGTACGATTTCTGGAGTTTTGTAAGGTGAAAAAAGTGTTCAAAACCGTGTTTCCAATTTTCCTTATAGATATAATTGAGATATTGATTTTTAAAAATAAGTTATGCAAAAACTTCACTAAAATTGAAAAAAAAAGGATGATCACAAACTGTTTTTAACAAGACTGACCTTGCGTTATATAAGGAAAGTTATGGACAGCTTATATTTAAAATTTTGCAATAAAATGAAGGCACCTAAAATTCCATGCAGAAAACGTTGTGACTGGCATTAACTGAGAAATATAAAACAGAAATGTCAGGTTCTTAAATAGACAAGCACTTTTGTTTTTTCTAATAATAGTCCTTCGAGTTTTAGTCTTTGTTAATATAAAATAATTTCATTGAACAAAGAATGAAGCTTATTATTTCTTTAATAATACACGGTATTTCCATTATATAATGACAACGATGATGAGTTACCGGTTATTACAACACTCAAATTGATAATGTTGTTGATCAAAAAAATATGTAATAGCTAGATAAAGGTACTTAAAGGAAATATTATACAATATTGGTTTTCTTATCGCATGTATTGTAGATTTACCTCCTCTACATACAGCTATACTACGTAATTACATTTTGATTTTGAACTAAGCAACAATATCGTAAATCTGTACAAAATTCTTTCGATGTTTCCAGCGAGTTCTTTTGTAAGCAGTTTATTGTAAAATTTCCATTGATGTCACAATTAATTCTAAAATTAACAACCTGGCAATTTAAAAACTCCTGTTCAATGAATGTTAAAAAAGGACAAAAAGAAAACCTGTTTGATCTGAATATATTTTTGATAGATTACTCCGCATGTTCCGAATATACGTGCATGGGTTGTTGAAGAAAAATAACCCATTTTTAAAAGATATAATTATCACTGCTGAACATATCCATGACATGTAGTAAACTAAAGTTCAAGCGACTTAACTCAAACGTTATTTAAAATTATTTTAACACTACAAAAATCAATTTATTTATACAGGGTGTCCCAGAATTCGCGCCATTCCCGTGAATGACATGTTCCCTGTCCCGAACTGTGCCGTAATTCGCAAAAAGAATTGTCCAGGCTTTAACCGTGTGAGAACTGGAAGGCGATTAAGTTGACCAATAGAGAGGCTGCTTGTATATCCGAACGTTTCTATGTTCAAAGTTACCTATGCCAAGAACAAAAAATCGGGTAATACTAAAGTTGAATGAATTTTTTTCGAATCCCCCTCCGTCAACAAAAGGAAACAGAAGTGTGGTTATAAATTTAATCATTTTGACAATTGTTTGTCATAAACTGTCACGAAGTTCATCACTGACCTGAACAGACGCTTCTGCCCCCAAAGATGACTGATTAATGTACACAGAGACGTCAAGGTTTACTTTAAGGCAAGTAGCATGGCACAGAAGTTATTTCTGCTGCCATTCTAGTTAAATTGTGTTTAACTGGGCTGTACATGTCATAAGAGAAGCTGTTTCATTTCATCGTAGGCAAATAATACATTTATTACTATTCTACATAGAGTAGCTACCGAAGAGCAGGTATTAGAAGTCATTTTCTTAGAGCCCCGTGAATAATCGTCGGCACCCAGACCAACATGTGTTTCACCGATTGTTACATCGAGCAAGAGAAGATCTTTTCAACCTAGTCGGAAAGGCCGTGCTGGGGCTCCACGGAATGTACGTGTAGGTGCTGAAGAGCAAGTGTTAGGAAACATGGAAGCGGATCCTAGGAGAAGTGTCCTCTACGTAGCGCAAATTAGTGGATGTTCAAGATCGACCACTCATCGTATCCTTCAAGAGAGAAGACTGCATCCTTACCATTACACGAGAGTGCAGCATCTGCGACCAACCGACTACCCGCGACGAGTACATTTTGCTCAATGGTTACTGCGACAAAATGAACTAAATCCTGATTTTACACGGCGCATTCTTTTCACCGACGAATGTTCATTTTCCCGAGAAGGAATGTTTAATGCACACAATTGGCATTTCTGGGCACACGAAAATCCACATCTCACTAGGGTGAGAGCATATCAGGAGCGATTTACTATTAATCTATGGGCTGGAATCATTGGTACTACTGTGGTAAAAATTTTAATGCATCTGATAAAATTATCAGATTACCTGATCGCCTTAATGGGGATGCATATGCTAATTTTCTACGACTAGAGCTTCCGGCATTGTTGGAAGACGTTCCTTTGAATGTACGGCGGAATATGTGGTTTCAGCACGACGGCGCTCCTCCACATAATTCGATACTTGTACGACGAACATTGAAAAGAGTATCGTCATAGGTGGATTGGGCGTGGCAGTACTAATATCTGGCCTCCTAGATCTCTAGACCTTTCTGCTTTGGACTTTTTTTTGGAATCAAATTAAAAATTACGTATATAGAGAACCCCTAGATATGTTAGAAGAACTGGAAGAGAGACTGCACGAAGCCTACGCTACAGTTACTCCTGAGATGTTACATAATACACAACACAACATAATTCAACGAGCTAGAACTTGCATTGAAGTTAATGGTGGTCATTTTGAGCACATTGTTTAATAACGTTACAGTACAACGATTCCAGCCCATAGATTAATAGTATTGCTCTTGATATGCTCTCACGTTAGCGAAATGTGGATTTTCGTTTGCCCAGAAGTGAATTGTGCGCATTAAATATTCCTTTTCGGGAAAATGAACATTCGTCGGCGAAAAGAATGTGCCGTGAAAAATCAGGATTTAGTTCATTTTGTCGCAGTAACCATATAGCAACATGCACTCGTCGCGCAGTCGGCTCGTCGCAGATGCTGCACTTTCGTCAATAGTAAGGATGCAGATTTTTCTCTGTAAGGATACGATGCATGATCGATCTTGAGCATCCAATCATTTGTGCCACTTGTTCTTCACCGTCTATGCGTATAATCCGTGGAGCCCCAGCACGGCTTTCCGCATAGGCTGAAAAGATCCATCTTCTTTTGCTGGATGCAACAAACGACGAAACACATGCTGGTCAAGGAGCCGATGATTGGGGAAAAGACCTGTATATTCGCGCACAGCAGTGGCTGCATAGCGTGTACATTCTCCATAAATTGTTTGTATTGTTCTTAAAAAAAATTGCAATTATTGTTATAATTTTTATTCGTATCTTTTCAATCTCTAGAAAGTATGTACTCACAACTTTAAAGAAACTGTCTTAAATCATCATGTGCAACATCAATATTATTCTTGAATAAGTCTCAGTTTTCAGTATCTCCCCCACATGATTGACACCACAGCAGATACCTATGATCTTAATACACCAGAGAAGTGGAGTCTCGTCTATTTTTTCGTTGCTTAGATTAGGTATCAGCAACAAAGCTGTTCAGTAAAAATTGATACTGTTTATTGAAAATCATAATCACTGATTAATCAAAAGCGATATTTATGTTTAAATACACTTAATAACGTTCTTTGAATGGACATGTGGTACTCTTTTTTAGAAATAACGATAAACTTAATATCAGGCATATGATGCATTCTGAAAATGTACTAATTTTCGTTAAAAAGAACAACACATTATTCACGGGGCTCTAAGAAAATCACTTCTAATACCTGCTCTTCGGTAGCTACTCTATGTAGAATAGTAATAAATGTATAATTT